GCTGTAAATCAGTTAACCGATAAAACAAAGCAAGATGAATTGGGAAGAAGCTTAATAGGCCACGAACATTCACGCCAAAAGCGGTTAAAGTTACTTAATTATAGCCTCGCTAAGAACTGCGACTCCTGCGTAACAAGTTTGCTTGATTGTGGAGCTTTCATATCCTTTCAAGCTTCATTTACGTAAGAAGCAGTAGCCAACAAAATCTACCAACTTCGGTATTTTGGTCAGCTGCAGTTCACAGACGCATTTTCCACGTATATAGCTGGAAACTTCTGCTTTGACGGACACCGCATCACCCGGGGCCAGTCTACCGACGACTCTGACGTCCGTTTCATCTCTTGAAGAGGCAACAACAGCAACTGGCGAAACCTTAACGGTTTTGAGAAGTCATTGTTGCGTGCTATACACTACCATTTCGTTTCGCAAGTCGCAACTCTCAAACTACGATGACGTACTTTTTAAAAAATTACTATTTTTGTGAGCTTGAAACTTGAAATATCAGATCTTACTTCAAAAGAACCACCAGTGAATGCATGCATCAAGCAGTGCAAAGGAGCTTACACACGAAATTTGACAAAAGCACTTCACATATATGGCGAGTAGGGGACTGTACTGATGATTTCCCACTTCTATCTGCTTGCTGCATTAGGTCTGTGCCTAAGGCCAAGTGGTGAAAAATAGGCTGCTTCCAGAAGTGTCTTTTTACGCATGTTGCTCAGAATGATCTCATATCTCCCATTCTTTTATTTCAATGTGGGCGTTCAACCGCTTTTTAGTGCGCTGTGAGGCAATTATCGAGTTATAACTCATGGAGCACGAGGATGCTGAAGACTGCAGAAGTTAAGCGAAAATGCATGTATGAAAAAATTCTACCGCAAGTTGGCATCTCGCAGTCGCTGTCGCTCTTCGCCAAGGTACCATTCAGCTTCGCTTCGTTCTCTGGCAATGTTGTCCAAATCAGCAGTCTTTTGCTCCAGTTCGCTTTTCAAATGAGCAACTGTCTCATCCTGATCTCTGTAAACCCTTCTTTTGGCAACAGCGCTTATTTCAAGTAATATTCATTTGATGCAAGAGATATTTTTTGCAAGAAATCGTCAAAAATAAAGCCTAATTTAGTGCAGAGCTGTGCAACCCTCTCTCTGCCCCCGGAACATCCGGCTGCATTAAGATGTTTCATATTCCATTCATACTCCTTAATTCCCTAAAAAGTGTTTTTCTATTAGGAATGGCGTTAAAAATATGACAGACATAAGATTCTGAAAGCAGCACAATTGAAACTTGCTTCAATGGCCAAAAAGACCTGCTTCTGCTGCGAAACGAAAGCTGTTCAAAATCACAAATCAAGCATATAAGTGCGTTTTTTATAGTAGTAATTTATGTCAAAGAGAGGACCGACTGGTAACTGTGAGAGCTGATGCGAAGAAGCAAATTGAGCTCAAAGCAGTACTTGTAAGCCCAACAACGGGAAATTTACTAGTATATAAGTTGCATGGAGAAGGAAAGTTCAGAAACAAGGCATTGCGAATGTTAGCAGTGCACCGAAAGCACTGAGCACACTAATGGTATACAGCCATATAAACCGTAAAAATTAACATTATCAAATTTAAAAGGGCTAACATGGAATTTTGAAAGTGTAAGATGACAAACACAAATTTCGCTGGCGTTGCATAAATCCTGGCAATGCAGAACAAGAAGAAACCTGGTCAGCCGCAAGTCACTTAAAAGTATTATTAACTGCTATTGATGTACTTGACGAAATTTTTCTTAAGGAAGGCAAATGAACGTCTAAAACATGCCTTTGAATGCTGGGTTCAATGTTTGCTTCTGAAATAGCCCTCTCGCTTTCCTGAAGCTTCTCCTCCAATTCGAATATTTTTGCGAACAGCTGGAAGTGAAATGAAAATAGAAGTATCTACAGTGCAAGAGAGCGACTTAAGGTTAGCCAAGAACAGTGACTATTCTGGCTGCATTATTTCGTCCCAATCGAGTTCACACCCTGCTCATACCAGCACTTTTTCATTCACAAAGAAAGTACTACATATTTTAAAATTGAAAAGCTATAGAACTTCGAGTATTCTGACACTCTCGCCGTTTGAAACATCCCACTGTAATTCATTTTCAATCAATTTGGATAAATTGGTTTAGACTAATTACTAGCCTTTTTGCTTTAAATTATACCTTTATTACATTTTAATGCAACACGAGAAAATCAAAGTGCTAACAGTACCTTGCATTTCTCGGCTTCATCCGGTTCCTCAGTGTGCTCCAGACGCGATAATTCATCTTCCGCTTTTCGCAGTTTTGCCGCCAATTCATCCGCTCTTTAATAGCAGCCGTTAGACATAATACTCGAAACATTATAAATCAGATTTAAGATTTTTCTGTCGTGGCCACAAAAATGAGCTCTCATATTTCGTAAGACTTGAGGTCACCCAGCGACTTCGAATTAATTTCAACAAAAACGCATCATAGTGCGGATGCGAAGCACTTCATAATGCTACCTCATCGTGGTCTAGGAACAGCAGTGTTTGAAAGTGATGGTGCTTTATATACACAAATGACATTTCGAAATGGCTGAAGTTGGTCAGAAAACCGCTCAGGTTAGCAACTTCACAGGAAATGGTTTAAACGTCGAGATTACTAACGAGTCGACCGGTCATCAGAGACTATCAGACAATGCAGCGCTGGTCAGAGTAACTGGAAAAATTGGATGTTTGCATAGTGGGGGCAACATGCTACGAACTGCAAACGAAGTGGGTGTGGAAGTGACAGTGCATAAGAATTGCGCATAGTTGCGGATTAGCTTTACGTTATTCAAGATAATTCGCCAAGGAATGAGCAATTTTGTTCGCAAAGAAAATTTTATGTGTGTAAAAAAAAAGTTTTTTACGCACTTGGGTAAAAAAACCAAGTCTGCTGGCTATGATAACGATTTCAAGTTTAATAAATGGGCAGTAATGTAAACCTGTTGTTTGCGTCACTGAGCCACTGGCGGTGTTCACCAAGGCTCCATTCCTTGTCATTTCTTTCCTTCTCCAACCTAGCGATACATTCATCCTTCTCCAGCACTGCTCTGTTCAAGTCATTTACCTGATGCTCCAAGCACCTAAATACCAAAATTCAACTCGGAAGTCCAGACAAATGCGGTACTTAGTGTCCCTCAAACGACCTGTCAATTTACTTAACTTTTGTCTCGCTTCAGCAAAAATTATTTGGAGATCATAGATAGCAAACAAATTTCCGCTCGTTTCCGAGATATTCATAAAAGAAGGTTATTTAAAAGGTGGGCACGGAATATTCCTTATGAGGTTGTAGGTGTTTCAGACGTATGCAGTCAAAATGGCCGAAAAATCGCAGTCTTAGCTAAACTGGTCACCTTTCGTATACAGTGACTGACTGGTAACTATTCCTTAAATAGAGTTTATAATTCTTCATTATAAGTGATCTGACCTTAAATTTCAGACAAGTATGACTGGGAAATCGCAACAGTTTTTGACAGTAAACAGCACTAACACTACAAGCTACATTTTCTCTGAAGTCTCAGGAAATATCATCGGTGAAACGTCAAAAATTTGGGAATGTGTCTGTCACTAAAGGTTGAGCAAAAAGCTCGAATTTTCAGAGGGAATAATTAGCAAAAATTTGTACACAGAAAGCATACCGCATTCGATCGTCGTCCTGAAATCGATCATTTTCACGCGCTTCAATAGCTGATTTTTCTGCTCTTACTCGTTCTAGTTCATCAATTTTCTGGCGCAGCTGCAAGCATTGGAAAAAATATTATGCCTTGGCACACGAAGATACGTAAGTCAATGAGATTTTCATCCAGCAAAAAAAAAAACTTCGCACTCTGCGCCTACAAAAAAAACCACAGAAAGCGAGCGTACGACCGGCTTCGTCTTGGCCGATAGTTGTTATCTAAAAGGAAAAAGTAAATTCCTTGTTCCGATCGTTATTCAAAAACCCATTGGATTGAGTCAAAAACCCAGTCTTTTGCAGTCAAAAAAAACACCGAAGTTTCAAGTTTTTCGGATGCTCCATTTTATGACTAGTTTGAACTTGAAGGAAATGCAATAGGCCATACTATGCCATGCTGGAAGTTCAACTTGATCTATGTGATCACTAAAATTTCAGCTCATAGATTTGTTAGTTTTCGACCACAAAATCAGCTAAATTTGAAATTTGCCATCATTATGCGGTGCCATGAATGGAATGCCGAGACCTTATGCTTTCCGCTCCTCATCAACTATACACAACAGACCTGTGCTGCATCATCAGCTCTCAGAGCTTCCAGCTCTCTGCGCAATCCATCAATTATATCATCCTTGTCACGACTCGACGCCTCCAGGTTGATTAACCTGTACAGTATAATGCTTCATTATGACAAAACTCTGATGTGCGTATAAGAAGACCCGAAACATAGACTAATCCTTTTTTACAGCCAAATAATTTCTGGGGATTAGAAAAAAAAGCCGTAAAATGTTTCAAAATGGCAGCATCACAAGAAAAGCAGCTACAGTAACAGCTTGCAAAACATTCGGTTCAACAGCGCAGCATCTGAATTGTAGAAGGTTCAAAAGGGGGAATGATGAAACTGGCAGCTGTATACTTAGTGAGAAGGAATGCGACAAAGGAACTTATTTTTTACAGCTTATCAATATATGAAAGTATTTTGGATTCAAGTAAAATAGCAAACTAATTGAATTGCAAGCTCATAATGGAGATTTTCAATTACGAGGTCATTTGAGTGGCTGAAAACAGTTCCTCTCCCCTTTCCTCCACTAAGCTTTTTTCAATTTTTATTTTGTTTTCTGTTCTTTTTCGTTTTCATTGCTTTGTTCGTATGATATTCGGCATATGCTCGTTACACACATGGTGACTACGAAGCTATGCTAATGATTCGGAGTTCTAATAGCATATTGCGTTCAGTTCGTGTTTACGGCTAAGGGATGAAACAAAGGCTCTATCTAAACATATTTTCTTATATATGATGCTTAGAATGATCCTTGTCTTCTAATCCATTATTTCAGCTCTAAGATGCTGTGCGTACCTGTTATTGGCATCCTGAAGCCATTGGCGATGCTCGCCCAAGCTCCATTCTGCGTCATCTTTCTGCTTCGCGATCACCCCCTTCTGCTCCTTCTCGGCGTTCAGCTCTTTCGTTAAATTTTCAATTTTTTCGTTCAAAGCTCTGAAAAAATAAATTTTCTGCCACTGCAAAGAGCGGTGAGTTCATTTTACTCTGTCTTAAAACAAAGCAGAACAGCTGCCGCTTATTTCTACGAAATATACCTTATTCAGCATGAGCTGGTGATTACAAGTCAAAATGCCTCTCTGTATTTGCTTCCTCAAAGAGGGGGAGACACTCCAGAAATGGCCCAAGCAGTAGCAAGTTTCAAGAACAATTATCCTCTGGCACGGATGTTTGTTGTACCTTCGAAGATTGCTTAAAGTTAAGCTGACAACAGGTCCGACTTCTTGGTATATCCTAGTACCAGTTATCGTTGTAAATAATGAAGAATCGTAAAGGGACTGGCTACCACCGATGAAGTCAAAGTTTTGACCTATTACATGGCAACAGCCTTATTTCTGCTGGTTACGGACGAGAGTACGGGCCGAAAATGTGATACAAGTGAATCCATATTATTTCGATAACTACAAGAAAAGAAAAGCAAAACAACAAGTGACCTACTAAGACCAGCGAGAGTGTAACAATGAAGCAAAAGGGCTGAAAACATTTATTAGGAAAGCTTTTTATCAGAAAGTAAAACTGAGTATACTTATAAGAAGACTTTTTATTAAACAGCACAGAAAAAATGAACTAACCCAACATCTTCCAGTTTTGGCGCACTTGCCAGCTCAAGTCGCAGTTGCTCGTTTTCCTGCTGTAATTCACTGATGGATCGATCTTTGTCATGAACAAAGCCGTCTAGCCAATTGGCCCTTAAAAACAATTCATAATGCTCAGAATGACTCTTGATGTGCTTTTTTCCTAGGATAAGGATGCATTAGTATTACTAACATGTGCTGAAAAATCAAAACTGGCTTCCCTAGCCCTTTTTTCTCGGCTGTCCTTCAAAGAAGTTTTAGCGTCTTATCCACTCGCAAGTTTCAGTGGCCTGAGCAGTATTTGAGCTCAAAGAATTTACATTTAATAGTTAAAAATGCGTCGAACGATAATTTGAGAGGCTCAGTTCAGGTAGTGCAAATTTCAAGCAGCTCGAAGTTCAAAAATGCCAAGTTCAACATGCCGTTTCATGCTTTTGTACCAATAGCCTATATGCGCAGTGCTCTCTTGTCGCCAAAACATATTTCTGTTTTTTACGAAAGTTATGCAGTGAATGGACAAACTAAAAACAAGAAGATACTGCACCTGTCATTGGCATCTTTCAACCACTGGATATGCTCACCGAGACGCCACTGTGCGTCATTCTTTTCCTTTTCTAGATCCTCGAGGCAAGCTTGCTTTTCATGTAGCTTCTTCCTCAGATCATCATTTTCAGCTTTTAAGCTTCTACAAGCAATAGTCATAGTAAGCTTTTGAAACATTCTGTTGATTCCACTTATGCTTTATTGCTAGCAGTTACACACAGCAGAGCAGACAAGCTGAGAAAAAAGTGAATTAATTAATTTTATTGAAAAACATTTTAGATCAGTTAAAATATTAGCTAAGATGAAAGCTAATTTTTATTAAGAAGGCATTTTAGACTGATTTTTTAAACATTAGCTTTGTATTGTGCCTAATTACACCAGCAAGTGGAAACATCAGATTTCCCAACATTGGCACTTATTAAACTGTTTAAAAAAATTTTCATTGTTGAAATAGTAATTAATGAGCAGAAGGCAGAACAACGAGCCTTCACTAAAACCTACTTTCTTCGATTGCCCGCACGGCAACAATGTCATGCCAGCCAGTCATTAAAGTAATGTGATAAAAAAAAACTTGAATTTTTTTCAAATGTTTTAACAATTCCCATCAAACTGCACAATTCATGGAATGAAAGATTTACTTTTACCTGCAAAGTCTAAGATAATAATGGTAAATGCATTATACTTACAGGAAATCATTCAGTTTTGGACTTTCGGCCAGCGCCCGCTCAGCATCGTTTAATTTTGCAACAAGCTCTTCAACAGGCATCTATAAAAAGTAATCAAAAATGATAGATTCACATTCACCAGCTCATTGGTATTACATCAATTAATTAAAATGAATTCAAACAAATTCGGGTGTTTAAATTACAAACTGTAAGGTTTAATCTTATGAATGGCATTTTATGATTCAGAGAGATAAAAGTGGCTTTCTTGGTTCCTCCTGCCTGTGAAATCTTGTGATCCTTCCAGTCTGGGGACCAAAAAATAATGAATAAATTCAACCGTGAGGACGGAGATTTCCAGATTACCGTATTCGTAAATTGCGAGGCAATCTACAGTTCGCGAGTAGGATTACCCAAAAACTCGGCATATGAGAACTACTGTACACTTTTATCACTTTTTCGTTGTTCAAAAATACAGCGATTGATGAAAAAAGTGAAGGCTGAACTACAATACTCATTGTAGTCACTTTTCCATCCACTGAACATCTACTGTTGGACCACAGTTCCCGATATCCAGAAGATAACGGTATTTACAAGTATATTGTTAATGATAAAGAAGCAATCTTCAAAACTCGTGACACAGTAAATATTTCCTCTCTGTTTTTCCAGCTCTAGAAATTTCTGTTAAAATCGAAACCTCCTTCATATTTCACTGCGGTTTCATTTTCTCCGTTTCTGCTCGCCCTGTTACATTTTCATTATTATCAGCGCGTTTTTTGCAGAATATTTTTCTAACGGCTAAGCTTCCCACAATAATGCGATACCCCGTCTTTTTAGCTTGCTAGAGGTATTAGCGTGATCCAGGGTTCCCTCTCGAGGTTATTACCATGCGCATAAAACGATAGGCCAACTGAATGGGATTGGCATACATTAAAGAGCGATTTAGCGATGAATTACTTCAAGCTTCTCATTCCGCTGCACTGCTTCCAAAGCAGCTTTTAGATCCAGTACGACCTTTCCCGATAATTGCTCAATCTCGTCGTGCAAGGCCTTGATCCTCTTGTCTTTGTCTTTTTCATTATTTTCCAGGTCAGCAATCCTGAACATGACAAAAGAATGAGATTATGTGAGATAAGCATATTCGCAAAAAAATAAGCATGATCACTGGACAAGAAAGCCCCAACAACATCCCCGAATTAAGCCTCTGGAGTTATTTGAAATTGTAATGTAAATAATTTCGGCTGAACAGATCAAACTTCCTAATACTTATCCAGAAAGAAAGCGGTACCTGCTGTTGGCATCCAGAAGCCATTGGCTGTGTTCATTCAAGCTCTGTTCCGCATCATTTTTACTTTTCGTGATATTTTCGATACATTTATCCTTTTCACTGATTTCATTCCGAAGGCTTTCAATAGTCGCATCCAGAGCACTATAATCAAAGTGTCAAATTCAGGGAGCAGTTTTTCTCAGGTGTAAAATTAAGTTTTTATAAAACTGTAAAGCCAATGAATGCTCCATGGCAAAATATGCACACAGCGTATTTTTGCAAAATCATGTAGAAATAGTTAAATATGAGAAACTAACTCGATATCTTCTTGCTTCGGACTTTTTTCAAATTCAGCGAGCTTAGCATTCATCTCCTCCAATGCCCTCTACAATGTAACTATAAAGCAGTGCTCCTCAGAGGCAAAATTATGAATATTCCGCTTGTAGGCTGTTCATTCAAATACTCCGGTACAAGCAGTGACAAAATTGTTGAGTGTGGTTAGAAAAACCTTAGATTTACAGTTTCAGTTCTGAAAGGAAGCCTAGGCAAATTGATCAAACCACGTTCAATTTTATTTCTTAAGCAGTCCCTGGAGCAGGGCCTCATTAATAGGCTTTTTTATCAGCAGAAGAACCAATGCTTAAGATAAATGCATTGTTTTAATCGAGAACGTACGGGGACAAAACATCCATTGATGCCAGCACACCATCCAATTCAAAAGGTTCAAACCTGGCACATAAGTTTTTCTTCCTCAGCGACCTGTGTGATCCGACTAATTTCCTCACGCAGCTCCTTAATCTCTCTCTCCTTCTCCTCCAAAGCATTTTGTAACCCATCAGCTCTATAAAATCGCTTCATGAATAAAACAGCGTGCAATATTCC